AAAAAAAAAATGTTGTGAGGATATAACACTGTAATTATGAAATTAAATATCATAGTGCTTTATTTTTCCCTCTACCAATATTCTTAGAAACAGAGAAGTCAACAGAAGCATCTGCGTTTACATATTTGGCAGTAGTAGAGCTTATTAAGTAATTTTGAAATTCTTACAATCATGTTCACGTTTCAAAATTAAGTGCATTTGCAGGAGCCCTTGAGTCACTTCTTGTGTGCTCAGAGAGAATTGAATGCCAGGATTCCAAATGTCGTTAAAGGTAGTTTCAGGAAATTAGCCATCTCTTAGTGTCAACAGTAGGATGTGTATTTTAGCTGTTTGACTCACTGCTTCAGTGGGCAGCCTCCTTTCTTGTGAACTGTACTCATTAACTGTCCCCAGCACATGTTTTCAAAACAAGGCAAGTGCCTCCTTCCTGACTGCCTGCATCATAATCACTTTATGGTCCAGATGTCTTCACACTGCCTGCCCATCACCTTGAAATGGTCTACCGCACACATCATGGCTTCAGCAAATCATCACGTGGGAAGGAACCAACTTTTCTCTATCCTCAAGGTTCTTCTGGCTGGTCTAATGATCAAATAGACATGAGACAAATTACCAAGAGCAAATAACCAAATTCAATACATACATGTGTATGGGAATACCACATACATGGTGGAGTCAGAGACCCTAGACTCAGGAGATGTTCAAAGATAGAAGGGGAATATGGGTATATAAGACATCCCTCGGTAGGGATGAGATAAGGTGCCTTGGGGGCTTCAGAGGGTCATTGCAGAATGATAAGAGAGCAGAGACCTTTAGTAAATAAGTTTGCCCTGCCCTACAGATAGATCAAAAGAAGTTATCTCTGATAATCTATATGGGCAAAGCCTATAATTCAAAGTCTTCTAAGTAGTTAAAGGTTGTGGGGTGGGGGCAGAAGTTTCTTTTGAGCCTGCAGCTAAAGTTGCCTGTAGCTCAAAACAATGTGCATACCACAGAGGCAAATCTTGAGCTGACTCCTTCTGGACACCATTGCCTAGGACTAACTCACAGCTGTTTTCATGTATATTTTAGAAACACTGTTTCCTTTCTCTCTTACTCTGGACTTCATGCAGGTTCTGAGAGAACTCTCTGTTTTAAAGCATTTCAAGGTAACGCTTTTTAAAGCAATGAATGCATCTATAAAACAGTCACCCTGTATTTATCCTTTTGTAGGTCCAGATTTTACCCCGGTAGATTTGCATAAAAGAATTTGGTTATATTTCTTCTGTGAAGGGGACTTTCAAAAGTGCTACATAAAGTGCTTGCATTTGGACATATTACAGTTATCAAACTTATAGTGTATCATTTTGCAATATGTAAGTGTATCAAAATCAACAGTTTATGCAATAGGAAAAACATACATTTCAAGATGGGCTATTGTGCATATATCAGTGAATTGAAAAATGATTAGAATCTGTGAATTTTTTTTTCTAATCAATGTAGAAATGTTAGCACTAGGAAGGGGACATAGGAAGGGGACGTAAATGACTACTGTGTTCCTATTATCTGCCAGATCCTGGAGTAAATATTTTAATATCAAGTGCAGCTTAGTGAAGTGCTTGAACGACCTGAGTTTGAATCCCAGCTTCCACACTGCTGCAAGGATTCAGTGACATAAGGTGTGCAAAGCTTCCAGCCCTTGTTGGTATAATAGTGGGGGCTTAATAAATATTAGCTATTCATTATATTTTATTCCATTTAATCCTTTGACGTAGCCAGTGCCCCCATTTTACAGATTAGGAGACTGAGTCTAGAGTGATTTAAGTAACGTGCATGAAGTTTTCAAAATTAGGTTGCAGAAGCAGAATTTAGAGCTAGAGTTCTGCTGGGCACTCTGGTAATAAAACCTCTCACCAGGATCATTGTTCTAGCCTGCCAGGAAAATTTGTGCTGGGATTTTTTTTTTTTTTTAATGGTGGGAAAAACCACCCCGGCTATTCAGATTCAGAATGACACCCTTTACTGAAAAACAAAGCAGCCCGTACAGGCAGCAAATTCACAAATAATGTATAAGCAAACAAACCCTAACATTTCTAACTTTAGAAATATTTTCAGTGGGGCCATTTCAACAGTCAACCATTCTTAGGGTTCTTTTTTTGCTTAGGATAGCAAATTCTGAGCTACATGGATAGATCTATACTTTTCAGAATCTGCGCATAATGGATGAAACATGCCAAAAACACATGTCCTATCAATACCTCTGCTGTGTAAATGTCATCATCTATGCAAATATCAACTTGCAATGCCAGCTTAAGGAAATTGTAAGGGTGATGTTCCTTTAGCAACCAGAAGGGAAACGTCCAGGTTTTTTGGGGGGTGGGAGGGTTAACTTTTGAACTGCTGTGGTTTTCATTTCTTCTTATGTCATGAGCACCAAGTGATGCTGGCTGGGCACCCTTAGTCCCTTGGTCACATCAGTCAGGCTGGATTTCAGTGTTGTTCAAATAGCCCTTCTAGGCAGGGGCTTCCATTGAACACATCCTTGTTTTCATCGTCAAGGTTCATGACTTGCTGGCCATCATGACCAAGTAGGGCTACTGTAGGACGATGACTGACGTTTTAATAGTGAAAGAGTTCCATGGTGTTGACATTGGAACTGGAAAATCATTTTACTAATGCAGGATTCTGCTTTGCTGTGTTGAAATCCTAAACAAATTTGTCATCGCCAACCCAAGATACAGGTAGGCTTTAGCTCTTATGACAGGCTGAATCTCCTTTGTAAAGATGACACAGAACCAGAGGAATTGGGGCTGAGTATCACGTAATTCTCATTGCAGTTTACTTCCTAGCACTTTATCTCGTCAAAATATTTTCTTCACCACATTGCTACCTTTGGAATTACTCAGACACTTAACTGTATTCGTAACTGTATTCTAAATTTATATCCGCAGTAAGGCCCAGAGTGTCAGCATCAAATTCTATGCAAACGGGAAGAACTCACTTCAGGATACTGTTCTGGGTGTGACCGTTGAAGAACCTCCTCATCACCTCATTTAAACCACCCCGGGTTTTCCTTTCCAGGGTTCAGCAGATTCCTACACGAGCAGGCCGTCGGACTCGGATGTCTCTTTGGAAGAGGACAGGGAAGCGATTCGGCAGGAGAGAGAGCAGCAAGCCGCTATCCAGCTTGAGAGAGCAAAGGTGACTTTCTTGCCCTTCTTTGGTTCCAAAGTGGAATGTTGCTCAGCAGGTAACAGCTGCTCTTCCCTGGCCTCAGATTTCCCTGAAAAACATATTTTATGATTATCCTGATAAGGCACCGGATTGCAAGGCTCCTGGATCCATCCAGGGGGGCCAGTACCTGAGACACAGTGACCCTTTACCCTTTTTTTGTGTTTCGTTTGGTGGTGATGTTTTGGTCATCTTCCAACTTAGTAATTGTGGCCAATATCCAGCTCGCCACGCCCAGTGTTGGCAGAGAGCCCCCTAAGGTATCCGTTTGCTCCATCCGCTCTTGACCCCTCGTTCTCCATGACATCAGCCTTCATTACAGGCCACACGTGCCCTATTGTTCTGTGGGTCTCCCTGATGCTCTCTGCTCTTCCCTCTTGGTTTCAACCTCCCACATCAAGTTCAGCATGAAATTCAGTACTTTGAACAAGTATTAGCATTTCAGCAAAGATGAGCAACAAAGGCATTGCCAAAGGAGATCTTCAGATAGTCCACAGGGAGAGGGCTCCCGTCCCCCCCCCCGAATTTCTGCACCCACAAGAGGCAACAATTGCGTTTTTGAATGTTAGAATGAGAGTCACTAGAGACTTCCCCTTATGTCTTTCAAACTGTTTTTCACATTTTAGCACAGACCACTTTTTCTGTCAAATTTTATGCACAATAGCAAAATCTAAACCAGGGATCATGGCCAGCCTTTCCTCCTTGCCCTCTATGACAGATGCCTAAGACATATCTAAGACATAAGATCGTCCAATCTTTCTAATTTTCCAGTAAAATTTAAAAAGAGCAGTAAGAGGAGAATGATGCAGGTAATAAGGTATCTTTATGTGTTTTGACACCTAGGTGTCTGTGCGTGGGGATTTAGGGCAGAGCCCGGGAAAGGACATCAGTCAGACTCGAACTCAGGTCCTGCCTCAGTTATTGGTCCCCAGTCAGGCTCCCAGCATGAATAAATGAGCCAATAACAAAGCAGCCCGGGATCACAGGAACCTTATGTTCTGAGTTGTGGCCAATTTTGGCTTTCGTTTTCTTTCAAAGCCTGTGTTGTGGCCTCTGTGGTCACCCAAATGTCAGCAGCAGCACTGTTAGTGTAGGTTGGTGGTTTGCTTCACTTCTGCCAGGCTACACCAGCCCAAGTGCACTTTGCTGCAGAGGAATTTGTCTAAAAAGAGTCTCAGCAGCCAGCTTTTGTTAGCTAGGGAGCCGGTGATGTGTGAGCATCTCCGCCCTTCCTGTCCACTACACCAAATGGCCTCTCTTTTCCCTGGCAGGGCCAGGTGTTCTATTGAATGGGATCCCACAGGTTTTCAGATCTGAGCTACCCCACCAACAACCTTTCAATTTAAGCACACACTTCCTGTATTCAAAGGGTGGTGGTGTCTCTTGTCATTTAAAATTAAGCATAAGTTTTATCAGGAGAGTACAAAGCAGACAGCCCTCGCCTCTCCATCCTTTTCCAGTACATTAGGGCACATTCTTTGTTTGGGATGTTGGAAAGTACAACAGGGGAAGGGGGTGGAATGTGTGGGATGATAGGACTGAGTCATTTGCAGCGTCATCTCTGCAGCGTTGTCTGAGACTGTGAAACTCATTTGAGACCTCCCTTTGCAAAGTGGTTTCCCTTACTGCCTGCTACTATTATCTTATTATAATACTGTGTTTCAATATGAGAACAACGCCTCTGCCTTCCTCCCTCCGTCCTTATTCCACAATTCTGTCCCCAGACCAAACCTGTCGCCTTCGCTGTGAAAACGAACGTGAGTTACTGTGGAGCCCTGGATGAGGATGTGCCTGTTCCTAGCACAGCCATCTCCTTTGATGCCAAGGACTTTCTACACATTAAAGAGGTAAATGTAGGGCACTCTGTGTCCCTTAACCTCCCACGGGTAATCTGAGCCAAATTACACAGAGAGGAGCCCTGAGGAGCTGCCAATGTGTTATCTCATTTAATTTGATTGGCCTTCCAAATCCATTCATTCTCTCTGAGATTTAGAAGCCTGCGATCATTGCTTGCACTATCACACATTTAAAACATTGGCTCACCGTCATCATAGGATGGATTTAGGACAAACCTGTGGTTCTATGGTCACCTTTTCATCACCTTGCATGATGGCTGAACTGTAGATGTGTGGATCCAGTTTAGGGAAACATGAGTTTGGTGGCATGTCGTCTACCCAGGAGAAACCATTTACAAGGGATATTGTCATTATAAACATCTGGGCTATAATCCTGTGGACCTTGAACTTGGAACCAGCACTAGAGAGCATAATAATTAAAGTGCTAAAGCTAAGAAGAAGGCAGAGGACTTTGGGAAACAGAAAGGTTAAGGGATTGAGCAGTATACCAGGACTTTGAGGCCTCTCGACTTGAAAGGTAGAAAAGTAACATCCAAAACTTTCATTTACTCAGCCTCATATACTGACATCTTGCTTCATGTTAGACATTCTGCTGGGCATTGGGGGATCAGACACAAAGGCACACTTTCCCTGCTGCCAGGGAGTACCGAGTCTGGTGGAAGAGAGTGACAATCACACAGTTACTGCCTGGGAGGACAAGGTCTATTACAGTCATGTTGAATGGGTGTTGTGGGAGCCCAGACAGAGCAGGAGGAACCACTTGGCTGGGGAGGAGGAGAGTGAGGGGTCCATAGTGGTGAAACCTGGAGGGAGTTCAGGCTGGGCTGGGGGTGGAGGTGGCATTAGGTGGAAGGGACAGCCAGAAGCAATGCATCATGGGTGGAGAGCAGTAAGGAGGGAGTGGTTCAGGGGATGGTCCAGGGCACAGAGGCAGGAGCCGGATAAAGAAGGACCTCTTAGACCAGGGCAAGACGCCAGGCAGTAGGCTGGAGAGGAATTTTAAATAAAGGATGGATGTGACCAGCCTTGTATCTTAGGACAGATATGACCAGCCTTGTGTCTTAACGTGTGAACTCTGATGGCTGAGGGAGTGTCGCAGAGGCTGAGGAGTCATGGTAGGTCTGGACAGTGGCTGTAGCAGAGAGGATGGAGAGAGGGAGCAGCTGGGGAGACAGTTGAGGAGCAAATAGACAGGATTAGGAGATTTCACATGGGCAGGGATATTGGAGGAAGTGAGAAAGGAATGAAGAGTGGAGGCCAGTTTTTCCAGCTTACTTGAAAGGGTAGATGGTGGCATCAGCTATCAAAATCAAGAAGTCAGAGAGGGGCAAAGACTTGTTACAGGGGTGGGTGTGGTTATAAATTTGCTTTTAGGTATACTGTGTCTGCGGTGCTGTGAAACTCCAAAGAAGATACTTAATAGACCTTTATTGATACAACCTGGAAGCCAAAAGAGAGGAATTGTAATTTTCTCTTCCTAAACGCTTCAAGTTGAACAGGAGAACAGAACAGATTCTAGCCAAGAGAAGGCGGTATAGAGCTGAGGGATTGCTTTTAAATTTTGCTTTGCTTTTAAAATTATTTTTAGGATTGAAAAGATGAAAGCATGTTTTCCATGCTGAGATGTTGAACCCAGTGAAACATATTGGAGGGAAAATGCATAGCAGATGGAGTAAGGGGCGGGAGTAGACGGGAAAAGATGGCATCTGGAAAATGGACACGAGAATTAGGCTGAGTCAGAAGGAAAGTCCTGCTTTCCTTGAACATCTCTGTTCTGCACAGAATTTTCCAGTGGGGTTGGGGGCATACACTGGAGGACGTCTCCAGCAGCTCTGCTAGGAAGGAGTCATTGGAAACTGGATCTTAGAAAAAAGAGAGTGAAAAGGTGGAACAATAAAGTGAAGCCTGAGGACGGAGTAGTCAGAGGAATGTGATCAACATAAACATATGACTTAATGTCACTAAGACACCTGCATGGTAAATATATAACAATTTTGAAAGTCATTGTATTTGAAACACTGCATTCTATAAAGGCGTTAGTGACACCAAGACATAGTTTTAACATTTCAACAATTTGATACCAAGTAAGTCAAACATCTGTATGTCTGCAGATGTCTCACTATCTTTGCATTGTGCCCATGTGATGTGGATAAGGCTCTACATTTGTCTAGTCACTCATTCAGGATACAGTTCTTGAGCATTCAACATGTTCTAGGTCCTGGCAGATATCCTGCAGCTTTAAACAAAGCAGACAGAGAAGTCCCCTCCCTCATGAACTTAAATTCTAGTGAGGAGACAGATAATGAACAAATAAGTAATTCCAAATTGTGAGTACTTTGGGAGAAAAAAATGAACTCGATGCTGAACATTTTTAAATACAAGGATGAGGGGGTTATATATTTTTAAATTTAGGGGTGATCAGAGAAGGCATTTCTGAGAATGTGACCTTTAAGACTGAGAAGGGGCCAGACTTTAAAAGATCAAGGCAGGGGACTTTCTAGGGAAAGGAATCTGCATGTGCAAAGGCCCTGAGGTAGGAAAATATCCTGGCACAACCAATTAAATGGAAGATGGTCATATGGCTGGAATGCAGTGAGCCAGGGGCCTAGTAGCAAGAGACAGAGTTGTAGAAGTAAGTAGGACACAGGTCAAGTAGGGCCTTAAAGTGATGGTGAGACTTCAGGTTTTATGCTAAATGTAATGAGAAGCCATTGAAGACTTTAAAAGCAGAGGTGTGGGATGAATTTATTTTTTTAAGGTTGTCTGATTGTTTTAGAGACAGTGGATTGGAGTGGAATAAGTATGAAATCCAGGAGATGGTTAGAATCATTCTAGGTGAGAGATAATGGGATTGAGCCGGCATGGGGTAGGGAGATGGAGAGAAGTAGACAGATTTGAGATATATTATTGGAAATTCAGGGAAGGGCACAGGCGATGGACCAAGGATAGGAACTAAGATTGAGCAACTGGGATGGAGACGACTAGATTGGGGAGAGAGGCTGGGGAGTGGACATGTCAAAAGGGATACCAAATAGGAAGTTAGATATAAGAATCTGGAGCTCAGAGGAAAGGACTGGGCCAAAGATATAAAGTTGGATCATCAGTGTATGTGTGGCACTGAAAGCTGGGACAATGAAGGAAGCCACCTACTAAAAAGAGAAGAGAGGGAGGAGAAAAGGCAGCTCTGGATCAAACCCAAAGGAATTCCATCCTGCAGAGATGGGGGTACATGAAAAGATTCAACAAATAAGGAAACTGAAAAAGAGAAGTCTGAGATATAGGAGGAAAGCAAGGTTAGAGCATTGCATGGACATCAAGAGAGAAGAGTGTATCCACAAAGAGAAAGCAGTCAGCTGTGGCAAGTGTAGTGCCATGTCACCTGAGATGAAGAGTAAAGGAACGGACGTTGGCTCGGCAACATGGAGGTCAGCAGCATGGACATCATGAAGACCACTGTCTGGAAGTGAGGAGATGGAAGCCAAACGAAATGGGATGAGGAGAGAAGGGGAGTTAGAAAATATATTTAGCAAGTGTAGACCATGCTTCCAAGGAAGTTGACACTGACCAGGCAGTAGCCTGAGGAGGGTATGAATTCAAAAGAGGTTTTCTTTTAAGACAGGAGCTATTATTGGAGCACCTGTGTATGCTGATTAACAAACAGGGAGAAGGAGAGATCGATGGGAAAGGAGAGCGAGGCAAAGGAGGAAAGTTTTTGAGTAGGCAAGAAGGGTGAGAGCAGAGGCTGAGTGGAGGGAGAGATCTTTGAGAGGAAGGGGATACTTTTTCATTGTTATGTACGGGAAAAAATGAGTGCTTGCTAGATGGTCTTGATAAGGGGCAGCTGAGGAAGCATCAATGATGGTGTGTGCTTTCTCG